ACGATGCTTTTCTGGAACGAAATGACGCATTTTATTATTGATTGATACATCACAATAAATCGGGCCTGAAAGGTTGGACAGTCGTAGCTGTTCTATGTTGAGCCTGAATGACTTCATTAGTTTTGCCAGTTCTGTGTCACCTTCCTGGTGTTTGGCAATCGCGGTCAAGTCGATAGAGGTTACAGCTTCGATTCGGGACATTGTGTCAGCTACGGTGTTCTCCAAGCCGCTGATATTACGAATATCCGTTGAGAACGACTAAATATATCGCAGATGTCGTCCTTCGTGGAGTAGTCTACAGGATGAGTTAATAACCATAGCATGGGTTATTGGCTTGTGATCGATGGAAATGAAAAATTTGCGACCTTCCAGAAAATAACGAAAGTATTTAACTACCATCTTCAGTGCCGTCAGTTCACGCCCAAATGCCGAGTAATTCCGTTGAAAATCAGCAAAGAATCCGAGCGGGTGCCAAGTTGTTCCAGATAACTGCTGAAGAACTACTCCCGCAACGATCAAAATTGAGCCTGAAAGTATCACTCCATTTCACGGTTCTAGTATCGTTTTTCTGTTGTCCGCGTCTGGTATCAACTTTCGTAACTCCGCCTGCATGTCAACAGCCTTGGGAATGAAACGCTTGTATACGTTAATAAGAGCTAAGAACCTGTGTAGCTCCTTTACTGTCATAGGTAGCTTGTAGTTTGCCACAGCCTGAACCCGGGACGGTAACGGTCGAATAACGTCTTGGTCAACTACGTAACCTAGGAATTCAACGCTCGACTACGCAAATTTGCCTTTTGATACGTTGATCACCAAACCATTTTGATGAAGTCTTCGAAACACTTCTTCAACATGTTGTTCGTACTTGATGAACACGACGACGTAATGCAGATCGCCAAAGATTTTGTTCATGAAGCGTTGGAACGTGTTTGACTGGCATTGGAAAGGCCGAATGGCATACGCGTGAACTCATAAAGGCCAAAAGGAGTAATCACTGCAGTTTTGGGGATGTCCTTTTCTTCTACCGCAATTTGGTGATACGCCCGTTCCAAATCAAAAGTAGTGAAGATTCGCTTTTTTTTTTTTTTTTTTTTTTTTTAATTGCAGTCACTTTAACGCTCTTGGGTCATTCGTGACTTGTCCGGGGGTGAGATTTGAACTCGTGACTTTGGCGTGAGAGGTTTGGATGCTAACCAGTACGCCGGGGTCGCCCCCGAAGATTCGCTTACCTTGCAATGAATTCAGCAGACCATGCACATGCAGCACTGGATATCTATCCGGGATAGTGATTTTGTTCAGCATACGGTAGTCGCCCACCTCCACTGTCCGTTTTTCTTGGGGACACAATGGAGTGGCGTGGTCTACAGATTCCAAGTTCTGTCATTAACGCGAACTCCTCTTTAGCTGCTTTCAGTTTATCGGGGGCCATTCTCCTAACCTTAGAAGCGACTGATGGCCCTTTTGTTTCGATGTGATGTGTGACATCATGCTGAACATCGATACGATACTTGACCAACAATGTATGTCGATGGTGATGATCGTATGCACATCAGTGGTCATCGTACTACCAGAGGAATAAAGTTTCGTTTTTGCGTCGACGAGGGTTTTTTAAGTCAACCAGTGGTGCTGGTGCTGATACTTCTGCGATTTGTGGTGCTTCTACCATTTTTATCGGCCATTTCTGCGAGCTTCGCCAGCGTCCCATCGCTGATGGTTAGAAGGGGACGAATATACGGTGGCATACGCTGAATAAAGAGCATTTTGAGAAGGTTGTCGTTGACATTGACACCAGCGGCGAGCTCTTGCATTTTTGCCAACAGGTGAGTTGGCCGCATGTCCCCAAGATCCGAAGCGCCGAGTAAACGTTCGAGGCCTGTAGTGCCTCTAGGGAGAGTGCAAAGTGTGTAATAAAATGCTCTTTGATCGCTTTGTATTTTTCCTACTGCGGAGGTGCCGTGATAAGATCCGCGATATGGCAAATCACAGATTGGTCTACTTTACCCACAATGTGATAGAAGTGTCTTAGTGTCGTCTTTTGTGACATTGCCGAAAGTAAGCTGTGCCTCCGCCTAGGCAAACCACATTTCTGGGTCGCTCTTCCAGAAATCTGGAAGTTTGACCGACACAGCGCTGCGGTTCTTCATTAGCCATTGTGAGGTTAGGTTCGTTGTCGTCGAAATTTGGAGAGGATTTTTACGAAATCCGGCACGACTTTTCGAAGGAACACTTCGGGGTCACCATTGTGGGAACGCGACTTCCTGGAATAAAGAAAGGCATGGCGTTTTAGTAATGTTAAATTAGACTTTTATTCTCTACAGTTCTACAAACTCGTGTGCGCTTTAAGACGTAGCATTATCAACTGTCAAACTCCGTAGGGTGTTTCTCAATCCGCTTTCATCGGATAGAGTGTATTCACAGTTCCAACCTGGGTACTTTAGGATTTTATTTGTCATGCCAATGGAAAAACAATTAATGCTATTGATTTTAACCGAAGACAACAAACCAAGAAGACTGGCAACTCTTCCATTTTCTCATACAAACGCTATGAGACAGGTACAATCGCGTCATCTGCCGCTCAAAGGTAAATGCTTCGAACGAATTTGATAGCAAAGATTACATCCTCAGAAGAAGGGTTTGTGTATTTGCTGATTCTTCTATGTGTTGCTTCCACCTTCACTCAAGTGCAGCGCTGATTTGTTGTCTTCAATTTAACCAAATATATCATATTAACAATATGATCCATTCATGCCGTTTCCAAATGTTGCAATCGCGACCCGCAAAATATTGCTTCACGCACCATCTAACGTTGAAAAAGGTCAGCAACAATCATTCAATTACAATCGAGGGGTGCGAATATAGCACTTATTACAAAAGTAAGAGTCAAATTATTTTCCTTAATTACATTGTGTATATTACTTTAAAATTTGTCTGACATGTCACTGTTGTCATCAAATAAAATAAAATGCTGAAATACATTCATTTGAAAAATTAAACAAATTTTCATTTGGTTTACCCCTCGTGACGATAAACAAATACATTGGTAGCCTTTTTGGCCACAGACGTGCTTTCATCGCTAAAAATTCGGTTCGCCAGCTAAGCGAAAGAGTGGATCATATTGTTAATATAATATATTTGATTTAACCTTAGATAATTAAAACATAGATTTGCCACTTCGGAAAATAAACTGGCAACAAAAATGTGGCGCCTGACTGAGAGAAGCGGTCAACGGGTGAACTATGTTTTTCTTCCTGCGCATTCATAACTTTGCACGCTAAGATTGATTTACTTAGATTGCACAAAGAAATTATCTTGATTGGGTGCATAGCGACAAACCCAAATGGTGTTCATATATGATTTGTTTTTATGCAAAATTGACATAAATTTTCCCGTGTTTTGGTTCGTCCAGTTTACGCCCAATTTGAGTAAACATAATCTATGTACGGCTTATTTAATCATAGCGTGCAGAATAATTTGTGATAAACGTGTATATCTGCATTTGCGTGAACAAACACTTTAAGTACCGATTTCTATATGAAACAACAGTGATTCATACCAGAAACCAAAATTGTACGAGAGCTGCTTCCAGTCCAAGTTCAAAAACGTTTCACAAGGTTCTAGTGAAAAAAAAGGTATTTCCCTAGCTGTTGTTTTTTGATGAAAATTTGAATAATATTTTCTTGGGTTTCAGCTCAAGAGACTTAGAGAAATGGATTAACGTCTGCGGTGTCATGAAATTCACGAAAGAGTCGGTTATTTGCAGCGATCAAGATGATGACCTCATTATTCCGCTTTGCAAAACTAAGGAATTAGTTCCGTCTTCAAATCGGAACGTTGCGAGCCAAATTTCACGTTTAGATGGCATTAGTTCAATGGATGTTGACTTTCAATTTAGCGAGTCGGAATAGGATTGTATAGAGATTGACGATATTCATGACAATACAGTTGTACATTATCAATATTATTGACTATATTTCTCCACCCTCTTAATATTGAACACAGCTAATAAAAAGCAAAACAAAACCGATGTGGCATAAACAATTTCAATTTTCAACGTCAGACGTGGAATGCGCCATCCAAAAAAATAATGTACGCAGGGCAGTTTTGATTCGAAATGCGCACCCATTTCGGCTACTAAACTTTTAGCTCACCCGTTGGCCGACAGATAGCGCGCTATCAATGTTACTTTTCGAGCAAAAGCAGGGATGCCCGACTGAGCAATCTATGTTTTAATTATCTAAGTTTTAACCCAAAGCTTTTATTAATGGGTTCTATAATAATAGATTGTCTATGTTGTAGCACTTTTTTCAAAAGCTCTTTTAAGTACCCCAACACAACTAAAAACTTTCTGAGAAAGAAAGGGTTAAGATCTTGAGCAATTCGCACTCTGGGATATTAATATTAGCAGGTAAAGTTTAGAATCCTACATCTGAAGAAGAAGTACTGTTAATTTAAAAAAAATCGAAAGAGGCGTTACATAGGCGATGTATGTATATAGTATTGTGGTTTTGATTTTGCCTTATGCTTAACTAGACTATCCGTTAAGGCTTCTGGTCCATTACCGAAACATAACCGAGTTCTCTCCACATGATATCTCCGCTCTCATAGTTTCCATTTGTTATATGTTTGAATAAACACCCGAAATGAATCGCTAACACACCCACCACTTGTCCACTGCCTGTATAATCACTCCAACTGTATGCATAGATACCACTTTATGGTTTCTTTCTCTTGATTTATCTTTTTCTTTTCCCTGTGAAACCGCTTCTTTCTTTTCTTTTTTGTTCTGATTACTGTACGACCCATACTTGATAGACAGCGACCGAACTGCCCAGTGAAGAGCAAAACCAGGTATCCGTCGACGCCACGAACAAAACTGACGAGAAATCCTCCGATCCGGAAGAGCCTACTGATACCAGTGCTAAAGAGAATAATGCTTAAAACATCTGAACTTTCCCATATCACAGTCCATGATCCTAGTTCTTGATACCGATTCTTTACAGCCAGCTCAGTAACCTAAATGGGGACGTGATGCGTGCCACCGGCGGCGGCAATCGAACAACAGCACCGGACATCGGTTGCATGGAACTTTGCGAAATGCACCTAACCACTTTCGAAGATTTTTGGTAATGGATTGATTGTTAAACAAAATCAGATTCTATAGGGTATAGGTACATAAGATTGGTTGGTATGCGCGAATTAAACCACAAACGAGGTCATATACAGCTATTACAGGATTGTACATAGGAAGAAGAGTTGTCTGTACCCATGATTGAAAGGGATGTATTGTAAATATGTCTAGTTGCTAAAAGCTTTAGAGATAGTTATATCATAAAAGAGTAAGCACTTTAGAGACCTAAGTGATTTAAACATTATTTTTGATTCACTTTTCGTTCAAGTAACATTTTCAACTGGATTTTTAAAACAGCTTTGGGTAGACGTCTTAGGTTTGTACGAATAGAATGTTTACACGCCAATACTTTTTTTTATTAAATAATCTGATGCTATTTGTTTAGGAACGATGTTAATCTTTCACTTAATCGTTCATTTGTTTGAACAAAAAAAAAACTTCAAGATTAGGACAAACTATTCAATGTAAACATCTACCTACTCATAGATTTGTTCGCACGCATGCGAGTACTCTGTCTTTTCTACATGCAAGTAGACAACAACAAGAAAAAGAAGAATACTGAACATTACCCATAAGTGATACAAGTTAAGGATTATCTCTAGAACGTAGATACTACAACATTGATGCTATTTTAAATAATTAAAAAAATATTTAATTTTGTTCGGAACCTAGACTATACATAGCCATTATTTGAGGATGGAATACTATAAACGGAGGAGAAAATTCTTGAAATAAACGTTAAAACGAAGTGGTAGATTTGCAACAACCTATTTTTACACGTCATACAAGGTGGCTGGTGTTCTCATTCGACGATATATCACAATTCCACACGAATGAACGAGTTCCCCTGGAAATCTACGGCAAACGAACGGATCTCGTCATTTTCTCGACCAATGGAATTCCTAATGAACTGCCTGTTTACCCACTGATTCGGGTCAGATCAACAGGGTGGAGGTACCGGAAAGAATTGAGCTTTCAGATTCATAATTCCGTTTATTTATTTATTGTTATTCTCGGCATCGTACTTTTGTTGCCTTCATGAATATTGATAGGGAAAAGCCTAAAGACGACGAATCGGAAGCCTCAAAGTAAACGCCGGAGTCGATCTTGTTGAAGCGAAGCTGTTAGCAATCGAAGCTAGCCTTGACATTTATACTTAATTGTAAACGTCTTAAATAAAATTAGTTCTACACCAACAATTGGAATGGGCGGAACAACCAAACGTAAACGCCGGCGCCGGTGGTGTAGTGGTAATGGTGACTGCTTTCTCACACCCCAATGGGTGTGGGTTCAATCCCAGCCGAGGTCGGTGGGAATTTTCTGAGGCATAAAAATCTCTGGTCACGTCTTCCTTCGGAAGGGAAGTAAAGCCGTTGGTCCCGGCCCATGTGTGTTGTGAATGGGTGCGATTTCCTACGCAGGTGTGGAAGCTGCCTTCCTGCACATTCGGTTGCCGTTAATGGATGCGGAACAGAGACCGACGTTAAATAAAGGAAAAAAAAGAACTTCTACGAGGACCAGTTGTCCCGTCCAGTCAACCTCTCGATGGGAGGAATACTTGAGGAACCTCCTTGAGAAACTCCGTTCTGCAGCTCGATGTGCAGGGATGCTCAAGACAACGTTGCAGTGAGTGACGTGCAGCTTATTCCTGGGTTGACGGCGAATCTTCTCTCGGTCAGCAGAATCGTGCAGAAGGGGTATTCCGTAACTTTCAACAACGATGGCTGCAAAGTGCACAACGCAAACGACGAGCTGGTGGCAACCGAGAGCCACTCCAACAATCAATTCGTGTAATGCTGCTGGAAGTTTCGATCTCTGGCACAAACGCATGGGTCATCTTGGTGTCGGAAATTTGAAGAAGCTTGCTGGTGGCCTTGCGACAGGGATTACACTGAATGTTGAAGCTAGCGCTGCAGACAGTCGCGTTTGCCCTATGGGAAAGCAGTCGAAATTTTCGTTTCCAAAAAGCGGATCCCGTGCGTCGGAGGTGTTACAACTGGTTCATTCGGATATCAGTGGACCGATGGAGATGAACTCCACCAGATCGTGGAGAACGCGCGGTGTCTCCTATTCGAATCCAGGCTATCGAAAGACTGCTGGGCCGAGGCTTTGTCAACAGCTGTTTATCTGATCAACCGCTCACCTACCCGTAGTCATGGTAGGACCCCCGAAGAAGCGTGGAGTGGAAGAAAGCCAAACCTTTCACATGTTCGTGTTTTTGGAACGAAAACCATGGTCCAGGTGTCAAAGCATAAACGACGCAAGTGGGATCTCAAATCCCACGAATGCGTGCTGACGGGATTCGATGAAGAAACCAAGGGATATCGTCTATACGACCCGAAGAAGAAGGTAACTATCAAGAACCGTGAAGTCGTTTTCCTGGACGAAGGAGTCGCATCTGAAGCAATAGGTCCCGATGCTCGGCGTAGCAAGGCTACGTTTGCCAGACTGGAAGTCGAGGAACCGTTCGAGACCGTATTCGAGCCGATCATTCCATTTGAACCGACCGAGCCTTGCGAATCGGATACAGAAGACGAGAACCATGAAGCAGATGATTCAAGCGGCGATAACGATACCAACACATCCACATTGTGCTCCCTCTGCGACAAACTTCAGAACTACCTTGGTCAAAGGTGTTGAGGCGCAGCGGACGGGAGCACGTGCTTCTAGGCAAGTACAAAGATTTTCACGTTGATAGTACTGGCCTTCCTGGTATCTCACTTTCACAGCCAATCTCCGATGAATCGAGTGACTTCCATGGTTTCCTCGTTGACGATAGCACTGGTGAACCGAGCGACAACGACGGTCTAGTCGCATTCCCTAATAAAACATAACCATAAACGAACGATAACCAAAATCATTGAACTATTCCACAAATGGTTTGGATGATACCCAGAACACGTCGTTAAGCAAATTAACCATATCATTTTTATTAGGGTTAGCATCTGGCATGGATGGTGAATTCGGAGACGACCCCGTTTCTCATCAAGAAGCATTGGCTCGGGACGATAGCAATGCGTGGAAGCGTGCTATGCAAGAGGAGTTCGACGCACTGGTGGACAATAACACCTGGACCCTCACCAAGCTACCGAAGGGAAGGAAGGCAATCAAGTGCAAATGGGTGTACAAAACGAAACGAAAGGCTACTCATAGCGAAACGTATGCTCCCGTTGTTCGCTATAGTTCGCTGCGATACCTCTTCGCCCTGGCTGTCAAGCACGACCACACGATCGACCAGATGGATGCAGTGACGGCTTTCCTGCAGGGTGACCTCGATGAGGAAATATACATGGAACAGCCTCCATGCTTCGTTGATTGAAGAAGGAAGACCGAGGTGTGCAAGCTGAACAAGGCGTTGTACGGCTTGCAGCAGTCCAGCCGAGTTTGGAACCACAAACTGGATGCGGCTCTGCGGTTATTTGGCCTGGTATCAACGCAATACGATCCTTGCGTCTACGTCTGCATTAAAAATGGCAAAATTATTATTGTTGCTACTGATGTAGACCTGAGTACTGCGAACTAACTCAAAATGCTTGTCATCTGGGAGCCGAGTCAAACTGTCAAACGGGAGCCAAACATTCAAAAGAGCTCAGAATTCACGTAGGTAGTTACTGTTTGAACCACAAGTAAAGGTGTTGCCACCTACTGAAATCAAATGAAGAATTATAATTATGAAACTGTCGAAACATCAACCTTACTAGGCGGATAATGTAAATCATCAAGCGTGATACTCGAAAAAGTGTTTTTAATTGATATTAATAATGCCAAAACTGGGTTGCTTGAACAAGAATGTAATCAAATTTTATAAGAGTCATGTGAGCTTTGCACTCCCATCACCATGTATACGTTATTTCTGGAGCAGAGGAGGAGGAGCCAAGAGTGCATTTGACAGCATGTATATACAATTTCGTGAGCTGTTTCAGCAAAACAATTTGAAACTTCGGAAGATTTTCAAGATGTTTTCTAGCTTTCCCTTAGAGATGAACTAGCCTAAGGCTAAAAATCTCTTAAATAAAGAATTAAAAAAAAAAAAGATGTTTTCTAGCTCACTTGAAAAATAAAATCGGCTGAGTTCGCAGTACTCAGATGTAGACGATTTAATGGTATTCAGCAATGACGAGACATGGAAAAATATGCTGAAGCAACAGCTAAGCAACACTTTCCGGATGAAAGATCTGGGACCTGCGAAACACTGTCTTGGGATCCGGATCGGCAGAACAACTGACAGGATAACGTTGGATCAAGAAGCCTACATCGAAACGATTTTGAAGCGGTTCAACATGGATCGGTGCAAACCAGTGAAGGTACCGATGAACACTAGCGAGAAATTTTCCAAGGATGCGAGCCCGAAGGATGACGATGAATCTGCTGCTATGAAGGATGTTCCGTATCAGGAAGCTGTCGGGTGTCTTATGTATTTGGCGCAAAGCACTCGACTGGACATACTGTTCGCCGTGAGTACCCTCAGTCGGTTCAAAAATAATCCAGGTATCAAGCACTGGAATGCGGTGAAGCATGTTCTGCGTTACTTACGTGGAGCCTTAAACTTGAAGTTGGTCTACAACAAGCATGCCGATTCAAGCATAGTCGGCTACTGCGACGCGGATTGGGGATCCGATCCGGACAAACGTAAGTCAACCAGCGGCAACGTTTTCATTGCTCAAGGCGGCGCTATTTCGTGGTCATGCAAGAAGCAATCTACGGTGGTGCTATCGACGTATGAGGCGGAATATATGTCCGTTTCGGCTGCGGTACAGAAAGCGTCTTGGTCGCGAGGACTTTCTGCACTATTCAACGAAGAAGGAGAAATGGAAATCCACTGCGACAACCAAAGCTGTATTTGCAATTGCCAAGAGTGGTGGTTATAATCCTCGCACGAAGCATATCGACATACGCCATCACTACATCAGGGACGCTTTGGATCGTGGTGTGGTGAAACTGGTTTACGTTGGCACGGAGGAGCAGATCGCTGATGGATTAACCAAACCATTGCAGAGGACGAAGTTTGAAGAGAGCCGTACAATGATGGGAATCTCTGCGACTTGAGGAGGAGTGTTAAAGCGAAGCTGTTAGCAATCGAAGCAAGCCTTGCCATTTATACTTAATTGTAAACGTCTTAAATAAAATTAGTCCTTCTCTAACCACTACCAAAGACAGACGTCTTTAGCTACTCTCTACAGATCTGCCAACCGTCAGCTCCATAGAAAGGTCGTGAGGTCCGTCAGAAGCAACCCAGGTATGTCGGATCGCGATTTGAGTAAAAAGTATGATGTCGTCAAGGGGTAGGCACACCAATCTTGGGTGTACCGGCATAGAGCAAGCTGCATTTTTTGTAAAATACGAATATTAGGGTATATTTGACAACCCGGTGTTTCTGATAGCTTGAATGTTTTGGTTTGTAATCGCATGGATAACATCGGCGGTCTAGCGACAACCAAGGAGAAATGTTGGCGAGATGGATCTTGAGCTCTCAGCCGTCCAACAGGACACGACAAAGAAAAAAAGTCGGAGAGTAGTGTCTCCGCATCGAAAACCGTTCATTGGGATAATTGAACGGCCCCCAAAATGCCGAATATCGTTCTCGATAAGGATTCCTTCTACCGATGAATAAAACGGCTCTACGTCAACTGAAAGGAACCAGAGGTTTCTCATGATGATTCGCTGCAGAAGGTGGATTGCATTCTGACGGCGGTCGGCGTAGACGAGGAAACCATCTACAGCAAATCCACCTCGCTGCAGGCCTGGCTGCTGGGATACGAGCTGACCGATACGATTACGGTGCTGTGCG